TGCCCAAAGTGTAAGTGTTAGGTTAATGTCATTGACTTGCTGATTAAGACTAGATCCAGTTAATGTGCAAAGCTTCCAGTCCTTGAGTTTGAGTTGAAATTTCGTGGAGGCTAAATAAGAGTTCAAAGTCGTCACGCAGTAGAACAATGATTTGCGATAAGGTCCCGTGTTATGCAAATGTTAAAAAGATGTGAGAGTCGGAACTTGTTGGAAGAGAGGTTTTCGAAGGCATGGTGACATCAATTTGTACCATTTTGAAGTTACCCATTGACGGGCGCCGAGCAAGAGTCACTTGTTGATGACTAATGGTCCGAGAGCGATTGCTGAACCGTGTGAATATTGACTACTAGCCAAAGCATAACTTTCATAGAATATGAAAATGTTCTAAATGCTAATATTCTCTGTTGATTCGTTCATGCTCGAATTTTACGAATCGATTAAGGCACGAAAACGTACATTAGCTGATTTCATGCACAAAACTTCTCAAAACTTCAAAATTCAGTCCCTTTTTAAAATTTAAAAGACATGTACCATACAGATTCATTATCATACCAAATTTATCCGAGAGTTTGAATTTTCAAATGATGTTTACAAGACCTTGACAATACCACCTGTCGCGTGCAACACCGTTAGCTCAACCATGAAATAAGCAGCAGGCGTCAAATTGAACGTAGAAATATGAATATGGGTCAAGTAAACGTCGGTTTTTTTATTGGGCCTTCGAATGATTTTGCCATTTGGAGTAGAATGCTTTCTTGCTCCTTAACGGAAATCTTAAAAATAGTAATTTACTTTAAAGTTTGTAAAGGAACGGCAGTAGTAATCGACTTTGGCTTTAAAGTTGTACACAAACAACTCCAAGAAGCTCAAGCACTGTGGTGATCAAGCTTCATGCATATGTCATAACAGTTTACAGTCATAACAATTTACAGCGCGATTCAGTGAAGAACAACAAAATGTGTCTTATAAAGCAAGTTCACTTTTTAAAAATCGTTCATCAGATAAATCTTTGGCAAAGAAAATATCATTACCTTGTCAATATTCAGACCGCGACTTAAATTTGACTTTATGATCTGAAACTAACATGTTTTCAGGTATACCTTTGCTAATTGTCAGTAAGGAACAACTTATGATGTCGGAGAACAGATTAAACCGTTTGAAACTGCGGTAGAAACGCCACAGTTTGTGACTGGCACCTACCAACGTTAAGGTGGAAAACCATTTTCGCCGAAAAGCCTACCAAATTTAGTGATTATAGAAAAGTTCTCTGTTTGAAAGTTACTGTTCTTAGAGCATCAGAAAATTCTCTACGCCACCCCGCTTTTTTTATTCCCCTGTTCTGACTGATGGGAAGCCCACTCTATCTCCTTAGATTCTGTATTTCCTTAAAGTCATGTCTGCCGAACCAGTGGACCCGTCCTGCCTCTTCCAATCGGCTAACGAACGCCCTGAACCAATCAGTGCTGAGGTAAGAGGAACCATCCCCACCTGGCTAACGGGAGCTTTGGTTCGGGTTGGACCTGGCAGATTTGAGTGCGGTGATACCCCGCTAAATCACTGGTTTGATGGCCAAGGACTTCTCCATCGCTTTCACATAGAAGCTGGTCAAGTGACATACAGCAACAAGTTTGTGCGAAGCGACAGTTATGCCGATTCCCTAGAACACGGAATTTCGTGTCATCTAGAGTTTGGAACGTTTGTCCCTCCAGACCCGTGCCAAAACATCTTTACTCGCTTCTTCTCGCGGTTTTGGGGAGAAGAAGTTGCTCATGATAACACCCTTGTCAACGTGTTTATGATGAAAGAAAAAATGTATGCAACGAGCGAAAGCAACTTTATTTATGAGATCGATCCTATTACCCTGAACACCTTGAAGAGAGTGGACATCGCAGACCTTCCAGGTATTGACTATCTCCGGTTTGCTATAAGTGATTTTTTGTTTAAGGCGCTAGCTACACCGTTGGTTTTGTCCTGTTACAGTGTGTTGTAAAAAATGTTACTCATGCATACCTTGTTAGACTTGTTATTTTCTTGATATCTTTTTTGCTTCTTCAACCTTTGGCCATTTCCCAAAGGTAAAAGCTTAATTAATACAGGTCTGAGCGTCTTTTGGATTTTCTTCACGCTTAATCGAATTGTTGAAAGGCTGCTTCAATTTTGATTTGCTTTGAGAAGACTTTTTTCGATTTTTAGGATTGTGAAAATAAAATCTGTGGTGACTGTAACGACAAATTTTGTTGTATATTTAACAATTATTCTTTGAAATCGAGGTGAATAGTGGCAAAATATTTACCGAGCCGCGAAAGCGGCGAGGTAAATATTCCCAAAGCCACTATTCACCGAGATTGAAAAGAATAATTGTTTTAGTATATACACACGAAGTGATCTCAAAATCAGAGAGGAAACCATTGAAAAGTACGATTTGATTGACAGATCAAATCAAGCCTCAGGTAGCCCAAGCTCGAAATATGAGCATCGGCGAGCATCGGCATTGTTGCGTAACATTCAAAATATAAGGATTTGTATGGGAAAAAACCTGTCGTTTCTGTAACCTACGAAAATGAAAGAATTTCAATAAAAAACAGCTTACCTTACTTAAAATGTGTGTTACGTCTCTCCTGTGTGGTCCACGGGCCGATTTATGGGTTTTTATGCAAACGGTTTTCTCTCTATATAAAGGTTTACCACTTGGTAAACCTTGCAGAATTCTCAAACATGGCAATTCACAAGTTTATCATTTCGCAAACAACACCGTAATTGCTTAAATGGAACCGCTAAAAGTTTGAACTGTTTCCTTACCTGAGAAGAAAAGTAGAGCTTTGTTGTTTTCTGTTGACTCGCCAAGTTTATAGCCAAAAGGGTTTGTTTGAAGTGCTGACAAAAATTGAGGCTCGGTTGCTCGAGGTAAGACGTCGTCTTCCTGTATCATTCTTTTTCCTCTTTACTTGAAACGCAGAATTTCTGCAAACATTTCCTTTTAAACTTGTTTTTCATAAATAAACTTCGGTTTTTGGGCCAAAGTTTTCTTGTTAGAAGACGCTGAGTTTTTCACGAAACGGCTTCTTCTATGCGAATACACGGGAGTTGTAAACAATCTATCGAGCACAAAACTCAGCTACAGTAAATTGAAAAACGCCGTAATTTGAATCCTTCCAAGTCTTTTCTTTAGCCTTAAAAAAAGTCATCCTAAGGATTTTGTCGACTTTTAGAAGATTGTTCTCTAAAAAAATGGGAAAAACACCGAGCTCACACATTATCCACTCGCTAGGAGGTGAATGTTGTTGAATAGTCCGAGATAGCGAACCAATCAGATAGCTTAAATCACCAAGATCACTGAGTGTGTATATACTAATATAATTTAGACAAATGGTCGTTTTATCTCAAAGGGGATTTTTCACGCTATTTGCTATCTTTTCAAAAACCAAAACGTTTTTCGCGTGAATAGAGCTCCAAAAATAATGGTCTAGTTTTGTTATTTAAGACTATATTTAGGGATGGAAAATCACTTTCCTGTCGTCTGTTGCAACAGATGGCAAGGATGTACGTGGACTGAAACTTGAAAAGAAAAAGTTGGGCCAACGTATTCAACTTTTAAATGCTATGCCTGCAAAAACTATCAAAAAAATAATCATAGTTTCCGTGATGAAATTGTTTGACATCTTCTTCATAACGTTACAGAAGCAATGTATGTTTGGGTAAAATCATTAAGTAATGACTTTAGCACAGAATGAACTTAAGACATCAATATCCTGGTGACACAGCCGGCCTTTACATAAAATGTTTTTGTTCCTCTTGCAGGTGATGCTACGATAAATTCGGCAAAAGCTCATCCACAAGTGACCCAGGATGGATCAGTGATCAACATCTCCGTGACGTATGGCAGACGTATGATATCATCCAGATACCACCTTCCTCGGGGGATGCGGGCGAGGAGCCTCTAGAGGGTGGAAAAGTGCTTTGCTCAATCCCGCCCAAAAGTGGTGTAGGGTACTTTCATAGCTTCTGCCTCACAGATAATTATATTGTTCTCACCGAACAACCCCTTATGATCGACATATGGAAAGTTCTCGGGCATCGATTTTCTGCTTCTAGTTTTGAACAATGGCTTTATTGGGATGCAAACCAGCTGGTCAGATTTCACATTATCGACAGGAAAGATGGCAACCGTGTGGGTGTCTTCACAGCCGAACCATTCTTCGTGTTCCACCACATCAATGCATTTGAAAGAGATGACAAAATTTTTCTTGATGCCTGCTGTTACTATGACAACTCGATTATAAAACAGTTGTACCTTCATAACTTGCGATCCCCCGCAGAACCAGGCCATAAAAAATTAGATGTCCCAGATATACGCCGTTATGAGATTCCTTTGGGAGATCTCGGAGATGTTAGTACAGAGAAAGCCCTACGCAACGGAGGTGACGGGTTAGATTATTCTTTGCTGTATGCAGGACTTGAGTTGCCGAGAATAAATTACGAAGAGTACAACGGTAAACCATACAGGTGGGTGGAAGATTCTCGGCTTTATTCGGTAGAAAAAAAAAAGATAAATGAAAAAACGGCCACACCCTTTACAGCATACCTAAGAGTGTTGACACGTGAACTATCTTCGAATGATAATCGTGGCGATGTTTATGCAGCGTTGATACCTTAGTATAGTGCTTAAACTTCAAGATGGATTAGAAAGTGGTCTCCATGTTTTCGCGCAATTAAAAAGTAAAGTATTTTTAAATGATCTACCTTTACTATTACCAAACTGAAACATGATTGTTTTCTTTCATACCGTCAGGTTTGTGTATGGCATGGGAATATTCGGAAATGCGCTATTCGAAAAGCTGATAAAACTTAATGTGGAGACCAAGGAGTTTGTAACATGGGAGGAGTCAGGTGGGTTTACTTCAGAGCCTGTGTTCGTCAAAGCGCCTGATGGGAAGGCGGAGGATGATGGCGTCATCTTGTCATGCGTGATCAACGTCGAAGAAAAGACTACCTCACTGTTGGTACTGGATGCCAAAGAATTTAAGGAGCTTGGTCGAGCCGAGATTAAGGGGGTTACCCCAGCCACAATACATGGCTTATTTCAGTAGCAAACTGAAAAAACAGCGGCTTTTCTCCGAAGAATAACATGCCATAACATAATTATCGCCCGAGCAAAATTATTTGCAAGAAAAGTAAGCTTGTAGATCTAGATGTGTATTTTAATTAGGCAAAGCGTTCTAATAGAGTTTGGAATGAATTACCCAAAGTTTGAAGGATTCACAATCAGTGTACTATCTCACATTTTTTTGACATTTGGTTGAAGCTCCGTTAAGGAGTGCTTGATGGATAGGATATCGTCATTTTCCATTTTATTTGTTTAGCCCTCTCGTTTTTATCACGTATGAATAAATCTTACTCAGTTCTGAAAGGGGCCAAGAGAAGAAATAAAATACTTTTGGTAAGGTGCTGATCACTTTTGCGTTAAAGGACCGACTTGTATCTGTTCCCTAACGTTTTTACTTAAAATTTCCTCCTGCATCTCACCGGGCGTTGTATTGTATCTTGAAAACATTGGGCTAGCATCTCTTAAAGTTGATATCGTTAATTCACCCCTTTCTTCAGCTGATTCAGCTGAAACGTGAACGGTTTCTTGGGATGCTTTAGCTGAAATGATAATTACGACTTTGGGAAGAAGCAGCCCCACGAGATTTACACTGCCAGCTACGATGAACAAAGTACAACCTACGATTACTCTCCATTCGGAGTCTTTTAGGTTAAAATAAGTTGGTATAAATATTATCCAAATAGAACACGTTATGTACATTGTGATTCCAATGTGTTTTGCTTCATTAAAATTTCTTGGATAATTGCGCGTTTTGGAGGCAAAAACGGTGCAAAGAAACATTAGAATGATATTATAACACTTATCTACTAAAACGTTAAGTATACTCTCTGAGCATATTAGTCTGCTTTGTCCAAAGAAGGGTACTTAATGATGGCCATTGGTGAATCTGAAATAATCCACACAGTTGTTATCATGAGCTGTACTGCCACTAGACCCAGTGCTATAAGTGTCTGAGACTTTGGCCTTATAAGGGGTGGTTTCGCTGCGGTTCGTCTTGCACGTGTAAAGATTCGATAGATACGGTTTGTTTTAATTAGCAACGGGGCGTACACCATTGTAAAGCAAAGACTTTCAAGGTAACGGTGTATTGTGCATACTAAATCAGTTGGTTTAGTCATGCAGGTAAAGGATGAAGAAAAGCACAAGATGACTCCTATGAATATTAGAAGAGAAAGCTCCCTGCCAGCTGCTTTGATAACACTGTGCTCCCGATTAATGACGTAAAAAACAAATGTTCCTATGGCAACAAGAATCCAAACCCCAGAAACTACAGCGAGGCTTGTCAGTGCAGGATCAGTCCATTCAGGATTAGAAATTGTAAGCTTTGTATATCGAGACAGGCTTTTGTCAGGAATATAACCAATGTTGCACGTACGACAAGTGTTGTTTCCTATCACTTGATAAGCTTTACAGCGTTTACAATCCCAGCAGCACTGCCGATTAACTGATTTCCGCTCCAGTATCTCAGTGGAACCACAAGCGTTACTGCAGTACGACTGTGGCGGTCTGCTAGGCACAATTCCCCATGACACTGAAGAATCGTTGATTTTTAATTGTCCGTGTTGAGATGATTTAAATGACTTCCAAGAACCTACAACAAAATGCTTCCATTCGACCTGTTCGCCTTCCCGAAAATTGATGATGTTATAAGCTCCGTCCATTTCTTGGTTCACGTTAAAGCTTACACTCGAGTTGAACGCCGCATCGGGAAAAGTCACATTTTTCAAGTAAGTAATAAACTTGCTTTGAAGTTTTTCTCTCATACTATCACATAATCCTATCTTTCCCAAGCAAAGATCTCTTTGCATATCACTAAGAGCGTATGCTATGGCGTAAACGGCGTTTACTATACTACGACACGAACTAGCACAAGTTCCACATCCCTTGGTAGCGATGCAACGACCTTGCAAATGTCTGGCGAATTTGGTGACGAAACATTTGCAATTTCACACTTCAGAACGGATTGCAAGACCTCGTCAAGCCATTAGCTGTGGTCACACTACAGACTTTTTACCTAGGTAAACACGACTTGTTGACAGTTTACCTAGGGAAACTTGATTTTTTAAGTGTGACCGATTTTCCCCAGGTAACTTACCTCGGGAAAATTTTATCGTCTGGGTCTTCGATATGTCTCGAAAACAATAGAGTTTCCCTTGACAGCTACCCCAAAGCAATAGCTAGGGAAAAATGAAATACCGAGGTTGCTAACAAATAGACGCTCATCGGCGAAGGTCTTGATGAAAGAACCGGACATAGATCACAATGTGAAAGTAATTTTGGGAGCACAAGTCGTCTACGTCTTCGCCTTTCTTCACCTTGCACGTTGAATTAGCGTAAGAAATAACAGCGAGATAAAAGGAAAAAAACGTCTCTTTGATCAGCTAGATCCCTGCGCATTTTGCCTTCTTGAATTTACACTTCAAAAAATTCAACTGGCGTGAAAACTTTGGGAGCCGATATCAGTAGTGTGACCTTCCCAGAATTTTTACCTAGGTAAAACAAAACCCAAGATGAATTTACCTAGGCAGATTTTTGATGAATTTGCCCTAGGTAAATCGGTTTTACCAAGGTAAAAGTCTGTAGTGTGACCACAGCTATTGATTATGTGCCTATATTATGTGACTATAAACATCATCGTAGGTCAACACCGTCTTTCCAATCTAGCGCATGCCCTTAAATCCGTATGAAAAAAATGCCAGCCTTGTGGCAGAGTTTCGTCTGTTTCGTCACTCGATGAATTTATCTTCAGACTTAAATACTCGCCAGCGCTCACCTCACTCAGCGGGACTTTATCGAACCTCCGTGGGACTGGGGAGGAGTGGAACCTGACTGGAAGATAATCTCGGCTAGGTAATCACAGGTGATCAACGAACCAAAGACTGCACTAAACTATTGCTCCAGACCTAAGCTTAAATAACGAAGGAACAGATAAATTAGTAACTGAAACATGATTGTTTTCTTTCATACCGTCAGGTTTGTGTATGGCATGGGAATATTCGGAAATGCGCTATTCGAAAAGCTGATAAAACTTAATGTGGAGACCAAGGAGTTTGTAACATGGGAGGAGTCGGGTGGGTTTACTTCAGAGCCTGTGTTCGTCAAAGCGCCTGATGGGAAGGCGGAGGATGATGGCGTCATCTTGTCATGCGTGATCAACGTCCAAGAAAAAACTACCTCACTGTTGATACTGGATGCGAAAGAATTTAAGGAGCTTGGTCGAGCCGAGATTAAGGGGGTTACGCCAGCCACAATACATGGCTTATTTCAGTAGCAGACAGAAAAAACAGCGGCTTTTCTCCGAAGAATAACATATCATAACATAATTATCGCCCGAGCAAAATTATTCGCAAGAAAAGTAAGCTTGTAGACCTAGATGTGTATTTTAATTAGCGTTGTAACAGAGTTTGGAACAAATTACCCTGTCCAGAGTTTGAAGGATTCAAAATCAGTGTATAACAAGCTGTCTTACGTTTTCTTGACATTTGGTTGAAACTCCGTTAAGGAGTGTTTGATGGACAGGACATCATCATTTTCCATTTTATTTGTTTAGCCCTCTAGTTTTTATCATGCATAAATAAATCTTACTCAGTTCTGAAAGGAGCCTGCCAATCACTTTTGCGTTAAAGGACCGGCGTGTATCTGTTCTCTAAAGTTTTTACTTAAAATTTCCTCCTGCATCTCACCGGGCGTTGCATTGTGTCTTGAAAACATTGTGCTAGCATCTCTTAAAGTCGATATCGTTAATTCAGCCCTTTCTTCAGCTGATTCAGCTGAAACGTGAACAGTTTCTTGGGATGCTTGAGCTGAAATGATAATTATGACTTTGGGAAGTAGTAGCCCCACCAGATTTACACTGCCAGCTACGATGAACAAAGTACAACCCACGATTACTCTCCATTTGGAATCATTTAAGTTAAAATAAGTTGGTATAAATATTATCCAAATAGAACACGTTATGTACATTGTGATTCCAATGTGTTTTGCTTCATTAAAGTTTCTTGGATAATTGCGCGTTTTGAAGGCAAAAACGGTGCAAAGAAACATTAGAATGATATTATAACACTTATCTACTAAAACGTTAAGTATACTCTCTGAGCATATTAGTTCTGCTTTGTCCAAAGAAGGGTACTTAATGATGGCCATTGGTGAATCTGAAATAATCCACACAGTTGTTATCATGAGCTGCACTGCCACTAGACCCAGTACTATAAGTATCTGAGACTTTGGCCTTATAAGGGGTGGTTTCGCTGCGGTTCGTCTTGCACGTGTAAAGATTCGATAGATACGGTTTGTTTTAATTAGCAACGGGGCGTACACCATTGTAAAGCAAAGACTTTCAAGGTAA